CCATCTTCTCTAAGAGCAATATTGAGTCACAGAAGGTCCCAGAAACATCCCTATTTGCCCCCCCAGAAATGTTGGCTTGGGTGGTCCAAAGACTGGTGTTATTGAACTTGGCTGTTCTCCACAGACACAGCACTAGCTCCATTCTGTAGCTAGCTCTTTATAAAGGCAATGTTAGGGCTCTATTTGAGGCTTAGTAAACTAGTCTACTAGTTTATTCCACCCAGTGGATATAAAACGAAGGAAATTTGTACAGAGCTTATGACTTTCCATGCATAATACTTCACAGGGTGAGCCTGTGACTGTTGTGTCTTAATGGATTCACTCCCTTAAACCTCTTGCTGCTTTTTGGGGTAACCATTGACATGCTAATCCTTGCAGAGTATCAAGAAGAAGAGTGATACTAATTTTACATGGAATACCTAATACTTTCAACTTTTGAAGTCTATACTTTGGGGAATGTATCTTTTTATAAATTTCAAAAACTATATCTTTTTTTTTTAAAGATTTATTTATTTATACATACAGAACTGGGGTACAGGCCAGAGATACAGGGGCAGTAGAGGATTCATCAGAGACAGGGGTGGTGGCAGAACAGGCCAACTGATGAGGTTCGCTGCTGATGGGATCAGCGGGGTGGGTCAGGAGAGGTCTGCTGAGCCATGTGGGTCACCTCCGGGGTAGGATTCAAACTCATGCTGAAGTGGCTTTAGCTTCTTAGTGTGGCGCTTTAACCCCCTGCACCACCAGGGAGGGCCCTATATCTTGGTTTAACTAGACAGTATTGGATGCACTAGTGAAGTATTTTGTGCTATTCTTTATTAGTTTTAGCCATTAACTTCTCTCATTTGGACATAGGAAATATATTGATTACAAACATCACAGGTGAAGAATTTCAGTACATACTGAAGTAATAAAAATATAATGTATTGTTATGAATTTAAAGCTATTTAACATTAGTGAGCCCTCTATATTCATATTTTTAAAAATATATTTTTAAGTATTTATTTTTATTTATTTCTGCATACAAGAATTGGGGTACAGGCCAGAGGTGTCGGGGGTGAGCAGATTCCCCAGAGACAGAATGGGAAGCAGCACAGGCAGATCAGCTGAAATACACTGCTGAGGGGAGCAGCAGGTGAGACAGGAGAGGTCTGCAGTGCCATCTGGGTCACCTCCCTAGCAGGGACTGAACTCAGGCTGGTGACAGCTTGATAGTGCTGAGGGTTTAACACCTGTGCCACCAGGGAGGCTCTGTATTAATATTTTTAAACATGTGAGAACTGTAGTCTTGGGCAGTTGTTTGATTTGAATATATTTTTATCCAGTTAAAATCTTTTTCTTAGTCTAAAGTCTATTATGGTAAGTTCTGAACAGTTTTGTGAATTGGCTCAATTATACATATGAAGAACTCCAAATTGAATCAATTTTTTAATGTTTCATTAAACTACTTTTGAAATTCAAATTATGTTAAATAACTAATGAGGAATAAAATGTTCATTGAGGTCAGAAGAGATCATTAGAAAAGCATTGGTTTGACCTCTGTTCTCACTTGCCCTTAACCCAAATTCCAAGATGAAATGTGTAGTTTAAGGACTAAAAAGGAACATGTGCAATTTTAATTTCTTCTTAAATAGCAAAATAGGAATCAGGTTTTAGAAAATGGTATATTAGTTTTTTTTGTTCACGCATGGAAACAAGGGAATCGTTTGAATAAATGTGATAAATGTATGATATTTTAGATTCTCAACAAAAAGGTACAAATTGCAAAAAACATACTGAACATACGCTTTACACACATTTTTGCTTTAATTAAAAAAACTGACTGCATACTTACTTGCAAGGTCATTGTCTTTGACCAGAACATTTCCAGAGATATTTAATTAACACTCTGACACATTCCTTTTTCTTCTTTTCTACCTTTTCCTGTCTCCCTCCATTGCTCCTTCCATTCTTGCTTCCCCGGTTTCTTTCTGATTGATGTTATGCTGAATGTTCTCTGCTCTGTCTCTTGGCAGTGTTTGCAGGATGTTCCTTTTATATCCCTCTAGCACCCTCCTCGCCCCAGCTCTGTCTTCACAATCTCCTTAGTTGGTGAAGTTGTCTTGCCTGTTTATGACTTCCCTTCAGGCAATGCTCTTGGTGCAACTTAATGTAGAACTGTCCATGGAACAGGAGCACAGGTGGATGGCAGGTTCCTCTTGGCTCTGACAAAGAACCTGTCCAACCTGCCCTGGGCAGGGTCTGGAAGGCCTGAGACTGAAAGAGCAGCCTGGGAGCAGTGGTCTGAGTACACATTTGTCAAAATTCTATGGAGCCTATTTTCAAACTCCCTGAAGGTGCTGCACTTCAGTTTTCTTAACTATAACCTATGAATGCTTCCTGGCATCTTTTTTCTCTGTCGCAGGACCTTTGTATGGACACTGGTGTCCTATGGATGACTGATTGAAGGAATATTTTATCATTGTTTTATCATTGTTTGTCTTGTATTTGTATAAGACGATACTTTTATTTTGTCTTTTTCAAAGCAGCCTCTTTCCCCTTAAAATAGCAATTATTTAGCGGGGGATATTCTTTTCTTTTTGATCCAGCGAGTACTCTTAATCCCCAACTGTAAACCAGTTGTCATCTGTGTAGGCCTCTGAGCCCACATCTCCCACTCTCTCCCCGTTAAAACTTCCGGGTCTGAATTCATGAGTCTCTTGCAGTGGAGCAGCCAAATAGGGTGAAGATTCTTGCCCGAGGAGATGGCAGACCTGGTGCCTGGAGGTGGAGCCACCAGGAATCTGACTCAGGGAGGACAGTTTGTGACACGCTGTGTGGCTCCGTTCCTCTGGTTGGTTCCCTCCCTTATAACGATGCTCAAAAAAGCTTTTCAGCATGAATTCTTGCTATCAGTCTGGTCCAGGGGCAGGTGGACAAGCTAAGAACATTTCACAGTGTGGGTCAGTGAGAAAACACATTTGGAGACTTGGTGCAGGCCTGGCATTAATAGAGGTGCCTTCTCAATGATTGCTTCACCTTAGAAATGGGGTGCCTCCTGGAGAATAGGGCTCACTAATCCGTACGCCATAGTTAGAGCATGAGCACTGGAGATGGATTGGCCTGCTTTGCAAACTGTTGGCTGTGTGATCTCACGTTCTAAGCCCTGGTTGTTTTCCACATCTGTGAAGTGGGGACAGGAGAGTGGCAGGTTTCTGTAGTTTTTATAAGGATTCAATGGGAAAGGTTTTAATGCTTTGCACATTTCCTGGCATATAGTAAATGTTCAGTAAATAAATGATAATTTTGCTATTGATTCTGGATTCTTCTCTACTATATTATATATGCTCTGAGTTTCAAGATAGGAATATAAGGGCACAGTGGGTTAAAATGCAGCACTGTGAAACTATCGCAGCCTCTGCAGCACAAGTTCGACCCCCGGGCAGATAGCTCACCCACATGGCTGGCTCTCCCGCTGCTCCCCTCAATAGTGTATTTCAAAGTCCATCTGCCTGTTCTGCTCCCCACTCTGTTTCTGGTGAATCTGCTCATCCCCCACACCTCTGGCCTGTACCTCAGTTCTATATGCATAAATAAATAAATCTGTAAAAAAAAATTAAAGATATGTGTGCTATTTTTATCATGGACCTTCATCTTCTTTCTCATGAAAAAAAATCCACATAAGTTTTGACTCCTCAAAGACTTAACTACAGTCTGTCTTCAACTCTACAGGAGACTGATTTCAGGCCTCCTGAGGATACCAAGGGCTGTGGTTGCTCAAGATCCTTAGAGTTGACTCTGTGTCTATGGGTTTTCGTGTGTGGAGTGGGTTTTTTGCATAGAAGAACTGAGGTGCAGGCCAGAGATGTGGGACGTTGAAGGATTCCTCAGAGACAGAGTAATGAACAGAACATGTAGATATCCTGAAATACACTACTGAGGGGAGCAGCAGTTGAGAAAGGAGAGATCTGGTGTGTCATACATGGGTTAACTTTCTGGTGAGGGATCTAACTCAGACCTTGGAGGTGGTAGTGCTGAGACTTAACCCTGTGGCCACCAGGGAGACTCTTTACTGCTCTTCTGTAAGTATAGGATATAATTGGTTGATATTTTATACATGCCATACATTTTGCTAATTTAATTTTTTTTTTAAAGGTTTTTTTTATTTGTGCATACAGGACTGGGGTACAGGCCAGAGGCTCAGGGGTGGTGAGAGGCTTCACCAGAGACAGAGTGGGGAGCAGAACAGGCAGATCGACGAAGTACACTGCTGAGGGGAGCAGCGGGCGGGTCAGGAGAGGTCTGCCGCGCCATGTGGTCACCTCCAGGGCAGGCGGGAATCGAACTCATGCGGAAGCGGCTTTAGATTCTCAGTGTTGTGCTTTAACCCGCTGCGCCACCAGGGAGGGCCTTTGCTAATTTAATTTTTGATAGAAAAACAGTAATGTCTTTGGTGTGCCAGACTCAGTGCAAGAGACCTTCTTGTAATTCACAGTTCCACCTTTGTTTTTCCACTTACAAGCTGAATTATGATAAAACTTCAGTAGTCCAATAAAAATGTATGGTGGCTGAAGGAGTAAATTGCAGTGATTTTACTCAAGATACACTACAGTGCTAACACACGAAACTGGAATTCTTGGTTGTTCTTACAAGTATTTTTGCTTCACCAAAGACTATCAGGTTAACATCCTCACTGATCAAATTCAGATATGTTGAAAAGACTCCTGAAGTAGGGGAAGGAGAGCTTTATTTTTTGCTTGGTTAGATTTTTATAAAGAACGTTATTATTCCATGGAATCTTGGTGAAAAATCACTCTGACATTCAAAGTGCCATCCTGAATAGTAAGCTCTTAGAGTAATGCTTCATTTTCCTTATTAATAGATTTACTCATGTTTGATTTAGGAGAGTAGTTTGATAAATATTTAGGAATATCCAAAACTAAGACTGGAACAGATTGTTAACTGTAGGGTAATGTTCTACATATCAGTGAGCTCAACTTTATTTTTGCTTTTTCCCTTAGGTGAAAAAAAATGGATTATCTCAGATAGTTAGCCAAGAAGAAAGAAAGAGACAAGAGGTATGTTTTTTGCTAAGCAGATGGTTAGAACTCTGAAGGGTGTGTGTGATTGCGCTTTCACCTACTTGTATGTACTTGTTCAGTTTTACTCTGATAATGTACTTACTTTCTTCTTTTCATAAGAGCAACATGTAATCATTGTTAACTAAAAATAACCTCCAGCAAAGAAAATATTTTAACTATCCCAATATCATTTTTTTTAAAA